CATTTCTGCTGAGATTAAACTCTTTTCCTGATACCAAATCCTACTTTAAACTTCAGCTTTACGTTGTTATTTGGAAACCCTAGGACAGGCAATCAAAAAGCTACACAACGGAAGCAGAACAGCAACCAAAACACCACCGACAGGATGAACGCCAGATAATTTTTTCCTGAATTTAGCTTGCTAAAACTGACATAACTAAGAGCAAACAACAATACATACTGATGGCCTAACATTGATTGCACACCTCTTATGACAGCAGTGACTAGGGACACTGAATGAAGAATACACTCAGACACAAGGTAAAACAACCTTGATTTGTTCTGACACTGCCTGCAGAATGAGCAATAGGTCAATGGACATTGAGTTATCCACTACTTCAGCGATTTAATGTGAGGGAAATGAAAAAGGACTAAGTATAATAATGAATAAGTAAAAAATATAAGAGAAAGGAAGCAGTAGAGATAAGATTTTTTTTTTTTAAATAAAGCCAGCTAATATTGAAGTCAAAAGATATTTTTTTTATTAACTGGAAAAGAACTAAGAATATATTCCCTTACAAAGCTGAATGCATTATATTCCAAAATGGAGAAGTAATACAAATACAGATTTCTAAATCTAAATGCAAAGCCAAACCTCTGCACAATTTTTTCCTATTTTCAGAAGGAGAGCTTAACACATTTCATAAGATTTGTCAGCTGGACATCAGCAGTGTGTCTTTAAAATGCCAGCTACATTTCCAGCTCCATGAAATGCCAGCAGAGGATACAATATATCCCTACCTCCATATGTGGCGTGCATAAATTACTTTTAATTTTTCATTTCCCAAGAAAAGCTTAAAATACAAAGAAGAATGTTTGAACATTTTGATTTTCACTTTATACTTGCTGAAACAGGAAAGCTTTTTAAAATGAATAAATAGGGAGTCTTGTGGTAAGGCTCGTGGCAAGAGCAGTCAAAGTGTTTCCAAGGGTACTGGGTCCGGGTGTTAATTTTTTTTCATAGCAGCCTGTACGGCACTGTGTTTTGGATCTATGCCTAAAACAGTGTTGGTGCCACATCAATATTTTATCTATTGCTGCAGTGTTTGCGCAGCATCAAGGCCTTCTCTGTCACTCTGCCTCCTCAGCAAATAGGCTGGAGGTGTGCAAGACATTGGGAGGGGACACAGCCAGAACACCACTTTGTTTTGTTTTGCTTGGGAGAGCTATGATAAAAGCACTGGCCTCGAGCTTAATCTGGTATTTGGGTGCTGCATTACTGCAGTCCCTTCAGGGGTGTACCTGTTCCAGTGCAGCCTTATCCACGGGCCACAGTTCCTGTCACGAAAATACATAACTGCACTGCTGTGGTGTCCTCCATGGTGTGGTACCACATGCTGACCACCATCTTTAGAGTGAGGGTCTACAGTAGATGGAAGTGAGTCACAGAGAACTTCACTTTGGATTTAGTGAAGTTTCTATGCATCTTAGCTAAACATGCCAATCCAAAAATGTATACTTGTAATAATCATTAAAAGTTTGTGAAGTTTAGCCTTTTACAAGGGGCACCTCAAATGTTCCCTCATGATCCCTTCTCAATGAGGTTTTTTGCACACTCATAGCAAATTTTCAATGCCAGTTTGCTACAGTATGGGGCCTGGTGCTGACACATACGATGTCCACACTTGTAGGACAAGGGAGTAACAGTCACAGGCTATAAAGTTTTCATGGGGAACTCATCCCACTGTCCCTAGTTGGAAAGTTGTCCCTACTTCTACCTAACACACAACAAACCCATAATTAAAATATCTGCAGATCCCAGTCCTGTCAATATCATAGCAGGATTCATGACCTTATTTTTCCAGGGTTCTGCTTTTCTAAACTGGAAATATATCCCTATCTGGCATAACAGAAAACCCTAAATAAACAATGAGGAGGGCATTTAACAATTAAAAAAAAAAGCAAATACACAATACATTCAAACACTCTCTTCTAATTACACTAAATTTCTAGGACACAGATTGGTTCTTCGGGAAACGTTAAAATGTTCAGCACTTAAACACTACAGAATCCGCTTTGGTCACTATAATACATTACCTGGTAAATTAGTCTTCATAATATCAATGCCAACTTGAAGCTCAGGCTCAGCTGCAAGAACTGCATAATCTCCTTGATGAGAGACATTGAAGTTGTAATTCGAATAGATACTGAATACGTTATTTGCCAGGAAAGGTTTTCCTTTTGATGTCCTTTGCAAATGTATTTCATTCCAAGGTATGCGCAACTTTTCTGCAATTAATTTCCGTATCAGCAGGCGACCAGCCTATGAAATAAAATGGAAGTGATTCATACAGAACTATTATGCTATGTGCAAAATAACTGTGGTTGCTAGAAAACCACCTGCCTAAAAAAATGTGGTTTTATTATTGCCAATAGAAAGTAAGAGTGCATTTTAGCCAAATCATTTTGATTTCTCCCTTTTATAAAAGCCTGTAAATTTAACCAAAAGAGTTCACCAGACCCAAGTATATAATACACTTATCACTATTAGCATAAAGACAGCACAAGACACAATAAAAAGTAGTCCTAGGCTAGAAGAACCACATAAAATAGTTCCTTCTCTACTTTATTTACTTATTTAGGATACTTTACTGCAGAGATGAATACTTTTTATACCACACTGAACAGTAAAACTGTCTCAACAGCTTTCCTTTCAGTACATTCATTCAGTTACTTAGGCGCTAAATGAAATACTTAATAGCTAAAAATGATGAGTAACTTCTTATAGGCTGATTAGTAGAAGTCTGTATTACTACCACATTGTTATGTGAGATTTAAAGCCTGAAAACAGCTTTACTCTCTTACACATTACACTACTGTCTTCAGGTATAGTCTCCTCGAGTATGTTGATTTTGTCTCATGACATCCCAACATAAAACTTGTTAAGTCTGTCAGAATAACTATTAATAGCAGACTGCAAACGTCCCTTTTTCCTAAGCAAAGGTGTAAGTAGAGCTGGCAATTGGTACTTTATAATGTATTTACTTCCCTGAAACGCCCTTGCAGAGCATGTTTTCCCACGAGGGGTCAGAAATTTGGGCAATGCTGAATCTGCAGAGACAATCGCGTCCCAGGGGCAAGGGCCGGTCGGGGGGCACGAGTGGCGCCAGAGGGGGCTCCTCAGCGCAGCGGCCTCCGCCCGCGCCCCGGG